AACAAAAAAAAAGATTAATCCATAATAGTGTTGATACTGGCGTTAAACCTTTATCATTTCACATACCTTTCACGCAACAATTTTCTTTTACATTGATGTAAACTTAAACATCTATTAAATTTGTGGTTGAGGATGAAACAAATCTCTTGTCGTGTCTCCTCCTCTCAGCCGGCGACCACGTCAAGTTCAACTTCCCCATGTCCTACAGCACCACGATACTCGCCTGGGGTTATCTCCTCTACCCGGAGGCCTACAAGGCAGCTGGTCAAGAGGACGCGCTTCTTGACGGTATCAAATGGCCGTTGGAATATTTCCTCAAATGTCACACGGCGCCTGAAGAACTCTATGTCCAGGTCAGTAATGGTAGATGGTCAAGTGGTCAGTCAGTCAATTGCTACAGAACGAAAGAATTAAGAAATGAAGCACATTTGGTTGAATGATTGGTTGTCAATGTTTTACAACCCAAATGGTACAACTCGGGTAATTTAGGAGGCAGGCTGCTTTGATAATACCACCTGTCAGGGTCAAACCGGCTGTGTAAGATCTAGGATTTCCGAGCCAAGCGGATAGGCCAAGCTACTTGATAAATTTATAATTTCCCCACTCGTAAATTCAAATCACGTCGTCGGTGAGCATTGCACCATAGACGTCGGTCATAGCAGATTTAGACCGACTAAGTAGAAATGAAATTGATATTTCGCTACCATAACATTGCAAAGATCTGCCCGACATTTTTGGCCGTTTTGAGATGCTAAGACTATGAGGTCAGTAAATGTTCTATCTGATCTAACAAAATTGTAAGATTATTCGGTGTCGTTATCAATAAAAATTTAAAGAATTGCTTTCGAAAAAGCTTGACATGTTGTTGTGAAACTCAAAAATTTTCTCGTCAAATTTCTCAAAGCTAAGTAATGAGCAAATAGAACGTTGTAATTCTGACATAGCGATTTAACAAAGCGGTGCCTATAAACAACGAAAGAGCTTGTTAGTTTGTTGGCGTTCAGCTATTTGCACCGTACGCTTCCTGAGAAGCCGATTATATTTATCTGGGTGATCTAGGGTCTGCTGTGGGGGGGGGTTAATAATATTAGATTTCAAAGCACACTTACAGAGTTTGTTGTAGAGCGGGGATAAGCGCAATACAAGTGTTATTTTTTAAAATTTCTTTCCCTTGTCCAACTCAGGTGGGCAACCCGGGGCAAGACCACGGATACTGGGGCCGGCCAGAGGACATGACAATGGCCAGACCTTCTTACAAGATCACAGCGTCCAGTCCTGGAAGTGATGTTGCTATGGAGACTGCAGCCGCCATGTCAGCTGGTTATCTGGTTTTCAAAGACAAAAGTAAGAGTGATTCATGCCAATGATGATGATGATTACTATGATGATGGTTACTATAGCTATTGTAGTTATAAGATCTAATATTAGTTGTTTGTATGTTCCTGATGAAGCCCTTAATTGGGCAAAACGTTGAACTTTTATTTAAAAAATCTCCTGGAAATTCTACAAGTCGCAACCCTTTTTTATTCCTTACTGTTTACAATGATGATGATGATAATGATGATGATGATGATGATGATGATGATGATGATGATGATGATGATGATGATGATGATGATGGTGATGATGGTGATGATGATGATGGTGGTGGTGGTGGTGAAATCAAAATAACAACGACAACAAAAACAACAAAAACAACAATATCACCATAATCATAATAATAGCCTAATAATAATATGGGGATATTACAGTGGAACTCGGATTCAACGAAAACTCGGATTCAACGAGATGAGATAGATTCCCCGTTTTTTTCCCCTTCTTTACAATCAATAACAGTAACCCGGATTCAACGAGCACTTAAATCAGCGAGCTCGGATTCAACGAGGTCGCTTCCAGGTTGAACAGTCCCCGAAGACGTGGCTTCGCTAATTTTTATCCCAGAACAAACTTTATCTATTCCCAGAAACCATCCATTGCACCTGCATCGTGAACCATTATTTACTTAGCCGATTGTAAGCGACCAATCAGCGGCCTTTTTAAATACCAACACGTGTGTTGTCGGCACGCGTACGTGTCTACTCTGGCGTGTGTCGGGTCGGATGGGCGGCCTGCACCCGTGTGGCTGTATGTGCGTGTCGGGGGGGACCAGCGGTCCGGGCGTTGAACGTCGCATACAAACGCGTCAGTCTTTTTTCCCCCCTCGGCAACTGATCATTATTACAATAATAAGCCTAGTCTTGACGTAGATCTACGTAATGTATTGTGCGTTGGTCTATGGAATCAAAAGTTGCCGTATCCTCGGCTCTTCACAGCAACACAACTTTTTCTAGGTAAACTATCGAGATGACACAGGTTTGTGTATTTGAACGAATCGGTCTTTTTTTTTACACAGCTCTTAATATGCAGCCATTTCTTCAGGCACTACTTTTTACTTCTCTTTATACATTACTTGCTCAGTGCCTGTAATTATCTACACACTAAACCTCGTGTTTACTATAACGAACACTCGGATTCAACGAGATTTTAGGTCAGGCCCAGCGACTTCGTTGAATCCGAGTTCCTCTGTATTGTGT